GCAGCTTGCCACTGACGTCCGCGGATCATTGGATGGCAGCTCCGATGAAGGGCACTGCGGAACATGCGCAGCCTGCAGTGGAGGCAGACGAAATCGCGGCGGTCGAGCGGGTGCCGATGCAGTTCATCCCGTATAGAGTTCCCTTATCTCGTAGAATTAATATGAAGGGTGATGCTTGGGATTCCTGCACCTTTCTTGCGAGACCTTCATATTTTCTCCTACCCTCCTGTTAACTTCCGATCCGGGAGGGTTCTCTTCAAGCCATATATGACAATGGAATCGTGTGACTTTCATGGGTTTCTTAAGAGGTGGGCAATGGGCACGTTGCATCAACTAAACCATTGTAGAATATTAGACAGATGGGCACTTCCGGTTTCAAGATTCAGGTCATCATCGTCCCCCCAACCCATTTATTCCCCGATCGGCACAAATCGCCTCAATCACACGATAATAATCACAGAACGGATCACAAGACGGAGATACCCCTCCCCCCGGCGTTGTTCGCCTCCAGCCACCCGACGACCGCGTCGAAGTTCTTATTCATCCACTCGATGTTGATCACCACCGACTCGATCGTCTGGTCCATGGCCCTCGCGGCCGACCCCAGCGTGCCCTCGTTCTCCCGCTTCAGTGTTTGCAGCTGAGGAAAAACAATGTTGCCATTTTAATAATTTGTTTTGTAACTTATGAAAAATTTTCCGCAAAAACACTGCTAGAAAATCTGACGAGTTAGCGAAAATTCTGAAAAATCTACCTCATTGAATTTCTCTCTAACACATCGGAAAACAAGAATTTCTCTCATCCCACACCCCAATCGTAAAAAATTCGACGATTCCTCGTTCTTGCTTGCTTTGGCTGTCTCAGGAAGCCGCTTTTTGCACAAGTTGCATTAGCAGGCAATTTGATCCATGCCCAACATTTGCGTCGAACCCCATCATACTTACCATTATGATAATAATTACCATCTCGCCCGACCACAGAGACTCGACTCACCAGTTCGAGTTCGTATTGGGTGTTGAAGTTGCTGAACGGCGAGATGAACCTGCCCAGAGCGCTGATCCCTCCGCCGTACCTGGCGAATGCAAAACGCATCAATGCAAAAATGCACAAAAAAGGCGCATTGTGGATATTCGAATCGGCCTCATCTATGGATTCGGAAATAGTTGTCCCGCTGGATAATCGGTGCCTACAATGACCAGCGCGTATCGGTCATATTGGAGGAGGCAAGTCAATGCAATCAATTAATTAATGCCATTGATGATTATTAAATCAAATATGTTTTCACAATTAATTCACTTGGAGCTCACTGAGCATTTTGTTTCTAAGGATCCTAGCACACTTTAATTCCGACCTCTGCGGACTGACCCGGACCGACCCGACGACAGACCGACCCGGAACGGAGCCCTTACGATTCCTTCAGATGGTCCCAGTTGACCTTGACGAACTTGAAGGCCTCAGCCCTCCCGATGGGGTTCGCTGCGATGTAGGCGAAGGCCCGGGACACGTCCTGGCTACGGATCCCGTTCGTGACTGGGTCCAGCAGCATGTACAGGTATCTGTAGAAACAAGGAAATAATGATATTAATGATAATAATGATAATAATTGAATAATGGAATTGCGATCGGATGCATGCAGCAGGGTTTTTTCTTCTTTTCATGACCATATTAGATTTATTTTGACGAAGTTAATCCAAGAAATCTATGCTTTCAAGGAAGATCTTAAAAAAAAAATTGGTTTACCAGATTTTAATTTAAAGAAAATAATGGGAAATATAAAATCTTCCTTTAACATTAATAATTGTTTTGATGTGATGTACAAAATAAGTTTTCAACATCAAGCATAGACAAGTCTAACACAATGTAGCATTTCGTGAGGATAATTTAGCTGAAGAAATTGTGCTAAAGAAATTTTGCTATAGAAACTGACTTGTTGAGCAGCCAGGACTCCTTGGTACAGGCCATGGCCGCGAGGAGCAGCGTCCTCTCGGCAGCGTAGTTGGTTTTGTTGTAATGCTCGTAGACGAAATCCCAATCTTCCACTGTGCCGGAGCGGACTCCTTCGCAGTACACGAGTCCCTTAATGTTCGGGTTCAGGCTTGGAGGAAAGGACTCAGGATCACAATTTGGGTCGAAGATGAAAGGGTTTTGATGTGGGGAGGAAGTATTGAAATACACGTTGGTGTGTGGGGGGCTGAGGGCGATGGATCAGCAGTGTCTGTGTGGGGCAGCACGTGGGGGGAGGCAGTGTGTGGGGGATGTCGTTTGAGGTGGGCAGTGATTTTGTGGGGAGCGGTGTGTGAGGAAGCAGTGTGTGGGTGGTGGGTATTAATGAAACATTTGACCCACGAGAGTTCCCACTCTTCTTCAATTAGGGTCTTTCCTAAATAAACACAATGCAATTTTCGTCTTCCACATTCTTTAAAAGTAAAATTGAAATTATTTACGCTACGCGCGTCTCCATGACATTCGAACACATTCAACACGAAGTCCTGCTGCAGCCCGTTTTTATTCAGCAGATGAGTGACTGTTCGGCCATTTCACTGAAAACTCGTCTTTTAGAAGCAACCGCGTTTTTTGTTTTTCGATAGTTCGCTCCCTTTGGCTGCCAACTAATCTTGGAACAATTAGCATAGATCCGTCATGGTAAGTTCAGGTAATCGGCTAATGGGCTAACCTCACCATGGTAACTGTCTACATTTCACACGAGGGTGACCCTTCGGATGATTCCTGGCACCTTTTTCTCGAGAGGTAAGAGCTCGATATACTCCAATGATAACCACCATGGCTGATCTCTGCCAAATTGCGAAAAGCGTTCTGCCTCGGGATTTGACAGATAAAGAAGATATAGGCAGATTCTTATCAAGTTTCTTTCTGACGCGTAAATAGCAAGTCACAATTGGCATTTTGCATCCTCCAGGTTCAATGTAAAAAATTGTGCAGCACGAATCGCGAAATGAAATGCGGCTTACAACAACCTCGAATTAAAATTGGCCTGGGAATCCCACATAAAAGCTTAAACCTGAGAATGTTGAATGCGTCGAAGGGCCACTTTCGGCCGACGGCCCTCTTCCCATCCCCGATGACGAATTCCAAAACTCACAGGGCTTGGTCCGGTGCAGATTGGTTGTAATTTCCCTTCCAATTTCTGAACTGTTCTGTGGCATTGCCGTGGCACCAGGGTTCCCCCATCTGACAGGCAGTTCCCCAGATCAGCTCATTGTACATCACCTCCGTCACGTCCGGGTAGTTCCCGTTGGCAGGCACATCTTCCAATACGGGGAACTCGAAGCCAACTCTTGCCAGCACATCTTTGATGAGGCTCAGGATATAGGCCTGGATGAGGAATTAGAAGGCCTTGATGAGCAATTAGAAAATCCGGATAAGGAATTACACGGCAACACTTTATACGGAATCGGAGGTAAATTAGACAGGAAATTGAGTATATGGGGAATGTCGTTGTCCAAATGCTCACTGCTGCTTTACCATTTATAATCTTCATTAGTTTGGCCCAAAATTGAAGTGAAGATTGCATACTGTGGACACATCTGAATTAAAAATCTATAAATAAAACCCTTCTGATGGGAATATTAAAAAATATGGATAGAAAAAAAATCAGTGTGTTAGGTTTAAAATGACACGCATTTTTCGAAATTAGTGAAATTAGGGTAATTTCATGCTGCCGATGATCTACCCGGTATTCTTCGTATTTCCCAGAAGTTTCGAGCATGCGCCGAAGGTAGCTGAGGTTGTCGGCCGTGGTCGCCCAGGGGATGTAGGACTTCTCCTGCCCCAGGTATTGGGTGAGGGACAGGGCGATGGTATAGTTGAGGAGACCCGCCCGGGCCAGGTTCAGGGCGTCGTCCAGGATTTGAGCCCTGGAATGGACAGAATGTGTCGTGGTAGGGAGGCTTGTGGGATTGGTGAGACTTGTGGGACGGGTGTGAATTTAATACTATTCCTGTTGGGACAAGGCTGCAAATATCTTTGTCATCAGTTTGAAACGCCAAACTTACAGGGGATGGTATGAAAGACCAGCGACTTTATTCCACATACCTACTATTGCTGCAGCTTTTTTCTTAATATACGCACCGTGCCAACACACACCGGACAGTCTTTCGAAATTGCATCCCAAAAAATTGTGGCCCAACCAAGGCGGCAAGCAAATATTCAAAATATAGCAAGAACCAAAATTGAGCAGGGGACTGGAATGACATCGGAATGACCAGATTCCACCCGACTCCTTCGACGAAAACCGAGTGAAAATATGAAAACTACGAGAAAATTCTCGGTATTGGTAATTATTGATCCATTTTTCATCAAGGAAGAAGCAAAACCAATTGCAAGAAAAATGCCTGCTTACAAAAAAAAATCAAAAGGAGAGAAGTTGGATGCAATATGACATGGAAGCAGAGAGCTCGGGAATATCCTCCGCTTCCAGCTTGAGCACTGGTCCAAGTCCTAAATCCCACTTCTTTTTTAATATTGCTAATAACACTGTTGCAACAAGAGGAATTTAGATGAAATGCCTAGGATCTGTTGGAAACATATTTATCTATGCCCGGCGTAAGTTTCGTCAAAGTAGCTCTAGTGTGATAGAAGATGTTTCAGGTGATAGTCGTTCGCCACACCTTTTATACATGGTGTTCCAAAAATAAAAAAGAGCGACAGCGTTTTCCTTATGTATGTTAATTCAAGGCATGTTCATGTCTTTGACATTGCAAGGAAATGCGACTGTTGAGATTAGAGATAGTTTAGATGCTTGGAGACAATAAATGTTCATTGAAGGATACAGACAATATCTGTCACGCAATTCGTTCCAATAAGTATATAACATTGGTGTGCTTCGCTTTTCCTTTTATAATGCATATTTACGATTGCTATATTTTATTATACAATTTATGAACGCTTGCGACAAGGAAACAGACTGCAACACGACAACGAAAACAGATCGATACAATCAACTCAACGAACCTGTTGATGACATGGATAACTTCATGACTCTCACTGAGGGTTTTGTTCAGAGCCTCCCAGTTCTTCTCGTCGTAGTTGACCCGGTAGTACCCGGTCTGCTGGGCGTTGATGATGTACCACTCATCGTCCTGGTCGAGCGTGAACTCGACGCTGGACGCATTGGGGTAGAGCCAAACCGTGGCGTTCGTCGAATCGAATTCCGCGACGTTGCTCGACCGGACCAGGTTCAACGGGACGTACCAGTAGGTCGGCGTCTCCTCCGTCGCAGTCGAGTCCAGCAGGAACCGTTTCTGTCGCGTGGATTGGCACGATTTACTATGCGTTGAAAATCAGCAGAAGCAGATGAACCGAATGAAGGTATTCTTCACGGTTTGGTGGCGATTTTTTGTGAGACGGACATTTCAGGGCTGCTCGAAATGCGGTCTGTCCAAGCAGTCCACAGTATTTTACCGAAGATGAGAGATTTTTTTAGATTTCGTTTTGATCGAAGCTTCCACTGCGCTTAGAGTGATGTGAACTTTTATTGAAATGTATGTTGTAAATGTAAGGCAATGAACTCAACAGAAGCAGAAAAGTAAGAAAAGATAGCGGACCTAAATTCTGTCTCGTCCTCTTGTCTCGTATTCCAACGATGACCAATAAAAAATTTCAGAGAGGAACCTTTCCCTTGATAAAATATACTCTGAGCAAGCTCTTTCACTGTTTATTACTATGGTACATTTTCACCATCCAACTTATATTCATTAATTGAGATATACTGAACAACCAAATTAAAGATTAAATTAATTATTAATGCCTTGGTAAGAATGGATTTGGAAGAAACATTCAAGATACACACGTCAATCTATGCATAGTGAAAGTTGACGAGGACGAGATTTGTCTGAAAACGCACCTGATTGACGGTGACATTTTGACCATCCCTCATGGCGTTCACGACAGGGTAACCGGTCTGCAGGGTCCAAGTGTCCATGACTTCCTTGACCGTGGCCGGGAGATCGACGATTTGCATGGTGTTGGCCTCGTCGTTCAAGTGCTCCCAAAGGTCGTCCTGCACTGCGTTCTGGTATTCGAATTCCTTGAGGTATTTGCTAACCCCATTCGTGAACACCTCCTCCGTCAGGAAGTGATTCATCATTCGAATGATCGACGCACCTGTCCACGTGCAATTATATTCACATATCAAGTATTCACCAGTAACTTTTGCAAGGTGGATCTCTTCCCGCCAAATCGACGCGCGAGTGAGCTCGACCATCTCGGATTTTGACGAAAGTCGGTATACACGTAGAGGAATCGATTTAAATGAAGCTATTAAAACCAATTGTTTTATCTCTCCCACAGATCTCCAGATGTATGCATTTTAATGTGATCTAATTTTCGCTCCCAGTGTCCATATAGACTGGAATAGAATTTTAAAAAATCGAGAATGTTTTCACCTATTGGAAGGCGTAATACAGTGCTAAATTCCGATGATTCCCTTGCGAATCCTTCCGGGACCCCTGTTCTCATTAAATGGTCACATCTCATGAAGCAATTGAGCGCCAATATTAGGTTTGGTGTCGTTTGAAGGGGCATAACGTGCACATTTAAAAGAAAATTTTATAACTCTAGATTCATCCCTTACGAAAATGTCTTATAGGATTCCTATAGGATCCTATATACCCCATAGATCCCCCTATAGAATATATAGGGTTCCCCATAGAACCTATAGGGTTCCCCATAAGGCCTATAGGTTCCCTATAGGACCTGCAGGGTTCCCTATAGGACCTGTAGGGTTCGCTATAGGACCTATAGGATTCTCTATATGACCTATAGGATTCTCTATAGGACCTATAGGGTTCCCTATAGGGCTTATACAGAACCCTATAGGCCTATAGGGTTCCGTTTGAAGTTCTCCTCTAGTCCACTAGATGGAAGTATTGGGTTCTCACATTTCTCAAAGGGCACAAAGTGCCCTCCCCTTACCCAAGGAATCATCTCCCACAAGAGAGTTTTGTACGTCCCCTAATGTCTCGCCTTGCCTCATTGTAGCAATCAATAAACTTTGATAGTTCCTTATTTGTTATCCCCATCTTCCAGATATAATCATAGAGTCCCGTGAAGAAATATGCCCATATTCCTTTTGAAGACCACCTACGAAACTAAGCTGGACTTCATTCAAATGGAGTTTCAGTAAAGAGACGTGCTCGCATGTTCTGTCTTCTATTTCCTTAGGTCGAGAGAAGAATGCCACTTCTTCCTACCGAAGGAAGTAGATGTGCAATCCAGCAAGACATGTGGGGCGTGGCCATAAATTATGCAATTCCCCTCAGTACCGGTAGTAATAATGCATGTGTCCCTACCATGGAAAAACCCCTAATCGGTTTTTTTATTTACACCGAAATGCTGCCCCAATATTAACCCCGGTCGTCTTTTCCGTCGTAATGCCTGGGTTTCGAAACCCAAAATATCCTCCCGGAATCCTATAGGTCAGGAGACCTATAAGACCCAATAGGGATCCTATAGGTTTTTCATGTTTCAAAAACCTATAGGAAAGTCTATAGGTTTCCTATAAGAAATAACCATAGGCTTCCTATAGGACATTTCCGTAAGGGCTTAGAAGTAGCTCCGTTGTAACCGTTGGCGCCGTGGACAAAAAAAAATTCTCCCAACAGGGGTAAGGGTTTCCAGTCCGAACCTGACCTTGACAGCATCAGACGGGATTCCGAAGGTGTTTGCCCTGGTGGACGTGCAGAGCAAAGTCACGCTGTGGGATGGAGAGAGGGTCTGCGGGGAGGTCCTCGACGGAAGCCTCGCCGTTCCCGGGGACTTCCATGGGAGTTGGACGACGATGAGGAACTACGTCTATTCGCTCTCGTCTTTTCTGAATGTCGCCTTGGGAGGCACCGTGTCCTCTGTCTTCGAGTATGGGCTTCATCCCGATCGTTCAGAATTAAAATACGATTAATTATTCACTTGGCTGTTTAACCCGTGTCGCGTTTCCGGGTCTCGCAATTGTCCGTGTCTTCAGAAAGAAACTCGTTTCCAGAGCGAGAAATAAATGCATTTCACATGCGTAAATAATCCAGTTTTGAAAGATGCATCATTGCTTCCTGCACTCGTTTACTCATCAAGTATGCGGTCGACATTAAAGAACATCGGTAGATGCTAAAGGCATTCATTAGCCAAGGACCACCCGAAGTTGTTCTCGTTTTGACGGAAGTTGTGATGCCTTGCTCGCCCATTGCCGCAGCACCAACGGGAACCGGCTGAACAACACGGCACTGAGAGCGAGATGGAACGCGGAAGTCGGCGTGCCTGAAGGAGCCTGGGGCGGCGGGGAGCCCAACGGAATGAACTCGGGCGTGGAGGCGTGCATGCTCTTTCTCTCGAGCGGCGCGTTGGTCGACACGGCGTGCAGCGATTCCTCGCATGTGAAGAGTTTCCTCTGCGAGATGAATTCCACCGCTGCCGGTGAGCATCGACTGGAAATCGTTCTCGAGCGGTGAGCCTGCACGAATCCAGCCAGTGCGTTAAGCGGGATCGAACGAGGTTCTGCCGGTGAAGGCTTCCATTCGTCAGTTTCCTGCTTAAATCATGATTTCTAAAAGCGGTTCAATTAGGTAACAACAAATATGAACTTGAAGCCCGTCTTACCTTTACTGATTCTACAGAAGAATATTCGTCCTTCTGCGAAAAATTCTCGAGACGCAACACTACACGATGTGCTTCGATCTGAAATATATTCGCTTGAAAACGATGTTGTCTTTCACAACTCTGGGGCCAATTGAGCATCTCGTGATTTTCTAAAATATATTAGCAGCGAAGTATCTGCAAATAAAACCAATACTCAGCATGAACGTCCGTTCTTCACAACATAGCTCACTTTCTACGCCTCCCATACCCCATCATTTCCGCCACAAAAGCATATTTTGCTTCCCTTCATTCCTCATATACCTAATACAGCGTGATGAATACCTCTCAAGGCACGTCTGATTATTAACCTGGCCTTCTCCTGAGACGTTTATATTTTCACATTTTCTGTAAAGGAAAAAAATACTATTTTCACCTTGATCACAAATATTCATTCTAAAAACCATTGACTTTCGACAGATTGTGACCCACCACCTAGCCATCCAAATACCTCAGTCACTCTGAAGGGCATACCAACTAAATATTCCCTGGGAGATAACGCAAGCTACGTCTGTCCCTGTGGCTCCTGGTGGAACGGGATGGGTTCGAGCGACCTCCAGTCCGAGTGCAAGGGATCTCTGGGCTGGACCCTCCACAAGGACCACTTGCCTTCGTTGACCTGCACGCCGGCACCTACGACGCCCCGATGCCAAGATCCCATCCTCGCCGGAGGCGTGGAGTCCGTGGGCGTGGACCTCCCGGCCTCCGAATGCTTTCCTCTCCCTACCTCCTCTCCCACGGCAAGATATTCCGGGACGGCACTTCGATTCCAGTGCTCTTCTCCCTTACATCGATTCTCTGACGGTGAGAAGGAGACGGTGATCGTGTGCAGAAACGGCACTTGGGCGATACAAGTTGATCTCAACTGCTCCGGTGAGTGTGCCTGAATCAACTTTGGACTTCCCTCTTTAGGGCGAAATACGAAGTTGAAAATCGGAACAATATAGTGTCCCAGGCTAGGAACACTTGACGGATATTTTTTTTTCGTGCAGGTTGGTTTTTCGTGCAGGAGGTTCGTGTCTCTCGAAAGCCGTCGATGAAGGCCAGGGACACACCTTCAATATTTCCAATAATTATTCAATTTTTCTCATCCCTTTATTTTCCACTTTTCAATTTTAAAATTACATTCGATTAATTTCCTCCGAATGAGTCTGAGAGCGCCTCCATCCCCATTTTCCTTTCCGGCAGTTTACGTCCCAGCATGCTCATCACCCGGCAACTCGAACGCCACAGCCTTCCCCGAAGACTTCCTCGTGGGCTCCACGGTCTACTGCATCCACAACGAATCCCTCCAGCTTCCGCTCGCCTGCGCCGAAGATCTCGCCTGGACTCCGAAGGGATTCGTTCCTTGCGCGGAAGGTGACCGATCTCACCTTGATGAGTGGGCTTGCTCAACCGCTTAATTTAATTAAGTCGCTTAATGTAATCAGGCGGTGGTCTTCCGTTCTTCCAGTGTATCCATATTTTGAAGTCGAGAACAAGAGTTTCGTGCTTGGGAAGCCGAGAGCAGGATTCCTGGACGGGAACTTCGGGGCTGCCGCCTTCTGTCACCAACATTTTGATGCAGCAGGGTTGCCGGAAGTGACAAACAGGACGGAGTTGGATTTTTTGGCATCGACCGTCCGGAAATATCTGAACGACGGTCTCGCTCCGCTCCCGTACACCATATTGTGAGTTTCGAGTTAATTTCAGCGAATTCCACGAGTCTCGCTCAGACAGCCGCTAAATTAATAGGCTAAATTAATAGCTGTTTTCTAGATTGAACAATTGTTGATGCACATCACCGCATAGAACTGTCTTCCAGCTCAGATTGATCTATTGACACCGAACAGCGACGTCATGTCGGAAAAATATCAATATATAACAATCGTGCAATAAGGGAGAGTGGCTTTAAGATAAGAAAACTGCGGGAAAATGAGAAAATGGGAGATAATAAGGGGGAGAGGAGAAAAAAATGGGGGAAAATTTTGGGGAAAAATTAGAAAAAAGTAGAAAATAAAATTCCCGATTGAATTTAATTTGCTCGCAGGAAGCCTTGGAAGGAAGGGAATCTGCCCGAAGACGGTCCCTACGATCCGGGGAACTTCTGGACATTCCAGGACGGCCACCCGATCCCAGGTGCCCTGTTCTCCCCAGGCCACCCGAACGACCCCAAGAACGGCCACTGTTCCGTTCTGGACGTCTTCGCCGACGTGGGATTCCGCGACGCGAACTGCTCCCGACCGTTCCCCTGGGCCCTCTGCCAACTCCACGTCGATGATAGTCAGTCGGGGATTTCTTCATTTTAACGCCCCATGGGCATTTTGCACGTATAATCACAGATGTCTTCCGAGTTCCACGGCTTCAGTCAGAGCAAGATTTAAAAAGTAATGATATTATTTCGATGAACTCGTTTTGTCATTTCATAATCGCTTAAAAATGGAAGAGTGCATACGTCCTTCGGATAAGATTATCATTCAACATCGGGGAACCTAGCCAAACTATGATATTCCAAGTCAGTTACGAAGATTCCGAGGAAACGGCTTCTATATTTTCCCATTCAAATGACTTGTGACCAGATTTGCACGAAGCCATTAGTTATTTTGCTATCTGCGAGCGAAGTCAAATTGAAAACGTCGCGCTGTTCTGTCGACAGAACGTGGGCATCCGACGCTCGAAGAGGATCATGCATGTCAGTTAAAGACTCCCTGTTTAATTCCCTTCGGAAATGACCTTGAACTTGAGACACGCGAGGTTGAATCGGCGAATGGGTTCAAACTCGTTAATGTCGTTACGCGACCCTGGCTTTCTGGTTTGACAGGCTGCCCGGAATTCCCTATCATGCGGAATTTCTCCTGGCGCCCGCCCGGCCCGAC